AAGGAGGAATCCACGCCCGGAGGTGACAAACCCAAGTGGAAACCCATGACGTCCATCAAGTCCTGACGGAGTTCCGACGGCTCGAACTGCAACAACGGCCGGTGATCGCCGGACAGCGAGATGGGTGGCAATCTGGGTACCGGAGTCACGCGGTATCCACGGGAGGCTGCCCAAGCCGTACAAGCCACCGCAAGTGTGAACACCAGGCTGGGGGTGTACTCCGCTTCGGCAAAGGTAGCAAACCCGCCCTCGACTGGGGAGGACCACTCCCGAGGGTCATGGATATGTCCACAACGTACAGCTGGTAACGCGGCAAGCTCAGGGATGTTGTGCCGAAACCTCTGAGCCTTCTTGCGAGCTCCCCCGAAAACACATGCGTCGTAATCCAGATCATGCCATGTACTCTGTTGGGTAACGTGGAGTTCAATGGGATCCCACCAGTGCAACGACCGCAGGGGGTTCTCTCGCAACCCGCCCAAACCATGTTGGGCTACCCATGTATGGAGTGCTAGCAAATAGTCACTGGAATAGTTGTCTGCGTCCACCCGTTGCTGACTGCGTTCAGGGATCCCCGGAAGACCCCGAGGTGCGTCCTCGCTACGCAGCGGTGGGGGACCAGGCTGCTTCTCCCGTGCCCGTGACTTGGTGGCACAGCTCATCGCTCCAGCGATCAGGACCACCTGAGGAAGGACTGCATGGATGGCGCGACGAACCGAAGGCCGAGACACGTCCAAGTCCTTGTCGATCTCAATGTCGATAGGCGTGACCACTTCCCACTGGCACCACAGGAAGGCCTTAGCAAGCGGAGCATTCGAACCGCTGAACACATCAAGAAAGACTGGCTTGCGGTCTATGTCATTCACCGGCGCAACAAGGGAGAGCTCTTCCATGAACCGTTGGTAGTCACCATATACACAGACATGTCATGGACCTGGCCTCGCTCCCCCCCGCTGGAAGAGCCAAAGGTGGCGTCAGGCTATCCACGAAGAGCTTCTTGACTTCCTCATCAGTCCGTGGGTAGTGGCGGAACTCGGCCAAGGTGCGAATGCCCAACTCAATGATCTTGTCTTTGGTGCGGGCGTCGAAGTTGAACTGAGCAGCCAAAGCAGCGAAGGTATCTTCCGGCGTGGCCAACTGCTTGGGAGGTGCGGACGACATGTCAGCCAAGCGAGGAAGCGTCGAAATCGAATTGAACACTTGAAACTTGAAGACAGCTGCATGCATTAATAACTTGGTCAGCAACCATGAGATCATTCACATAAAAGAAACACAGCAACAGCATCGAGCCTTTTACCTAGTGACCCCCCGGGTACGTTAATCTAACTGCGGTGCCAACTCATTGAGCTCCAAGCCCAAGCAGCGCAGCGCATCCCAGTGCAGGGCATCAGCCAGCGGCGTCACCTCATCATGGACCCTCACCAAGGTCGAACGTAGGCTGTGGCGCTCATCAGGGGGCAACGTAGTATTCAGGCGCTCAAGCTCGGCGCAAAAGGCCCGCACAGTAGATACATAAGGGGGAACAGACCCAGGCCTGACTGGCCGTGCCCCCAACAATGGATGAAGTTCTGGCTCAGGCTGGGCGAACTCCCTGGGATGTCTTGAATCTCATCCCACCAATCAATCCAGCTAGTACAGAGGCTCTGCATAGCACGAATCTGGACCAAAACCACCCCCAGACAGGGGGAATCTACAGGTGGCAGGGACTCCAGGGCTAGACAAGCCTGCTGTCCCAAGTCCCTCAACTCAACTGCTTTGCCCCGCCGCGCGTCTCGCCATGGCAACAGCCGCCAACTGGATAGCCTGGGGTCGGTCCATGTTGAACGAATGAACTTGAATGAACGAAGCTGCAACTGCGAATAACGATCAAATCGGAACTGGCGCACATCCGGTCACACTTGCCCCCAGGACATGACGATGCGCCTTTTGACACAAATTCACTAGACGTACAGCCTAGGCCAGTGCACGTCGGTCCGGACCGGGAAGCACAGCCTGGCATGACTTGCAAATCTGGCGATCATACCCCAAGGCCTCGTGCACAGACGTAGCACGGTGGGTATCGCAACGAAATCCTGGAGACGCCTGTCTCCACCGGCACCACGGTGCGCCCTCGCGCTCAACGTGCCACAATGCCCCTGCCTTTGTCGAACATATAAAAACGACAGGGTACCTTGGGAGCTGGGGCAGGTTCCCTCCACAGCTCGACCGGGCCCAATTAAACAAAGCATCGCCGCCGCGTCTTTTCAAGACTCCTTGGCGATCGCCCTCAGCCCTTCCAGCCTCGTGTACTCCTGGTCGAAGTCGGTGCGCTTGATCCAAGCAAGGAGGATGGCCATGAGAATTGGGGCCCTGTGCACTCCGGCCTGACAGTGGACCAGAACGTTCGCCCCGGCAGAAAGGGTAGTGAAGGCCGCTTGTTTGATCTCTTGCAAGGCCTGATCACGTCGTGCGATCTGGTACGACACCGGACACGACAATTGAAAACAATCCCGCTGTGCCACGCCACCAGGACACTCAGCGGCGGTCTTCTCCATAGCCGAGGCAATGAACCCAATATCATTGCCACGCACCCACCGAGGGTCCTTCGGTAGACCAGCCAGATATAGCAACCCATGGCCGTCAGCGCCCCAAAATACTAATGTAGGCGGGTGTGGTCGCCCTCCATGTCCAGGTCGGGCCCAACGTTCGCGAGCGGCAATATCGAACATTGCATCCGAGACCTCATTGAGCGGTGTCACCGGTGGCGGAGGTCGAGCCTTGGCAGCCGGCGGCTGCGGCTTCTTCTTGACAGCCACCGCCGGAGTCCCCGGACCCCGGACAGGGGTGGGTGGATCCATCGTGGCCTGACTGGCCGGTACAGGCAGTACCACAGGAGCAGGAGGCACGTCAGGCGCAGCCGGCGCCACCTTCTTCTGAGGGAGGCGTCGCCTCTGCAGGGGAGGCTCGTCCTGCTGGGGCGCCAAACGTGGAGACACCGTAGGCTTCAGCTGCGATGATGATGAAGAAGGTCCTGTCGACACTGCAGCCGCTGCCCGCTTGCGCAAGGCCCGAATAATCTTCTGTCCAGCGGAACGGATGACTGCCAATGATGCCGGTAACAATGATTTCACCATGGGCATTCCAGGTATGTCATCAGATGAAACACGCACGACCCTGGGGTTCTCGGACAGCAATTCGTCCGCGGCGATCATCGCTTCAGACCAGCGCTCCGCAGCGGAGGTAGACTTGATTTCTTCCCAAAGAAGCTCGGATGCACCGGCCAGGAACAAGGCAGCAGCGAGCCGGAGTTGATGGCCTTGCTTCTGTTTGCGAGCGTCATACCGCAATGGAGTCTGCGCTGTGGAACTGCCCCCCGCAGCGTCCGTCCATTGGCCAATAGCAAGGCGCTCGGTGTCTGTGAGCCGCACAATCCCTGCCAAGGTGGGCACCACCCGCCTGAAACTGTACGAGCTAAGGTTCTGCACGTCCAGGACGCCCTCGAAATAGGGTCGTACAACCCGAAGGAATTGCCCAATGGATACGGGGACTCCAGTGTCCGAGTCGAAGGCCAGGAAGTGCCAACGCCGATACCCCTCGCCATGACGTGGACGGACCTTGTCCAACTGGCGGTTCCAAATGGCATAGAGGTCAAGGCTGGCCAGATGTCGAGGGATGGACCAGGTGAATCCATCTCGGGTCCCGGTCTTGCCTTTAAAGCACCAGAAGATAATGATGGCAGAATTGGCACCAATAAGGTAACTCCGTTGCACGTGGCAAAACCGAATAAGGCCAAACACCATGGCAGCAGCCGCCATCAGAATAGGCCAGTGAGCGTGCTCGGCCGTGTACTCCAGGACCCCCAACAAATGGGTCACCATGCCCGGCTCAAGCGGGGCGGCCTGGGACTGCCCCTGTCCCAGCCGAGTGCTCCGGCTTGGAGGCTTCGCTCAAGTGCAATGGTACACGAAGGTTTCGAATCATCCAGCCCAGGGATGTAAACACTCGTGTAGGCCCATGATGCTCCCTGACGAAGGTGGCCAATGCATGGGGGTCAGGAAACTTCAACCCCAAATGGTCCATATAGCGCACCAAGTCCTTCCAGGTATGGACCACGCGCTTGATGGTAGCTGTCTCGGTACGGGCACAAAGCTTCTCCAAGCGTGAGGCCCAATTGGCCATGTATTCGTCTCGTCGATCGGGTGGTGGAGGCATCAACGTCACCATAATGCCCAACAGATCACGAATAAACAGAGCGGCGACCCCGCCCTTCACTTCAGCCGGCTGGGCTGGCTTCTTCTTGGGCTTGACAGGCCCTGCAAATGAAGACGGCTTCGGACGGGCCACCGAAGAAGAAGTCAAGGAAGGAGCCGGAGCACTGGATGGTTGTAGCGGGCGAGACTGGCGAACTGTCTCCCTCGCAAAAAGGTGCCGAACCAGGGCTGCCATCCCCGGTTCGCTCTCACGGCGAGCGAGATCCCACCCATCGGCCACTGCGCGACCGGCTTCACGAAGTGCTTCCTCATAGGAGGTAAACCAAAAAGCCAAGTCGCTTGTGCTCTGAATTCCCATCCTGGCACACCAGGTATTCAGTTTCACCTGCTCAACCGCGCGTCGAGCATTTGCGTCAGCCATGGCTCGCACACAAAAAGAATCTTGCGAATCAGCGACTCTGATTCACACGGAGCGACACTCCTTTTTGGCTTGAGCCTCAAGCTTGAGCCAAAAAGAGGAACCAAGTTGTGCTTCAAGTGTTTCAAACTCTGCCCTCAACGTTTCCAGTTCTCGGGGAAACTACACCCAAGCGTGCACGAGGCTATGTTTGACTAGGAAGAAGCCGATGAAAGGCACCCCCCCACTCCACTGAAGATTCTCTAAAGGCAAACGATGCCTGAAACAACACCATTGATGCAATTTGCAATGGAACAAGTCAGCATCCCCAGAACCAACAGCTTGCTTGAAGTATAGCTCGAGACTTCCCTTCCACGATATTGTCGTGGGTGAGCTGCGTTTCTTGGGGGCCGTACTTCCACAGTATGCTAAAGGTATCGTCCAGGCCATCCTCAAAGCTCCTCTAGCTATGTGGTGGATGCTAGACCTTGGCACATCAAGAACTCATGTGTAGCGTTTGTGGCTTCAATGTGTGAGAGCAAAGAACATTAGCGAAGTGACACAGGCAAACAACCCTCTCAATATTATCGGAACTGACTTCTCTGAATGTACTGGCTGAGGCAGGCACCAAAGTTTGGTTATGCTGGAGGCACCTCCCAGTCTGCTGGCCTCACATGCAATGTACAAGTCCGCTCGAATGAGGTCATCGAAACCTGCAATAGTAGGCTGAATAAACGAATAAACAGTCTTGAAGCCGTTGGTGTGAAAGATCTCATGCGCACTGTGCATCTTCTGACTTTAGGTGATCATTTTCAGCGCACGTCTCAAGCACAGTATGCAAACAAAAAACACCTGGACGTTGGTTCGTTGAGCGTTGGCATGCAATCCGCAGAGTCTTCCATCCAGCGCAAAAAGTGTTCGACATATCAAGTGCAAACGTGGAGGATGTCTGAGGATGTTTGAGGCACAATATCTTGTGGGCTATTCTTGTGGGCAATTGATAACTTGCACCTCCGCTGCTTGCTGCTGCACTTTGAACTCAGGGCGGTCTCTCCACACGAGGGGTTCCACAAGCAGCGGCTGGCCAACCTTAAATTGTCCAAAATAGTGTGGGCCACTGAGATCATTGGACAACCCATGAGCCCCATGGGTGCATCATCCTTTGAAGGAACCTGTTCACTAGCCTGTTGTCATTGCGCTCTTGCCTCTGTCGAACTTAAGGCTATGAGATCTATGAGGCTATGAAGCTTCCGACCATTCTGGAGACCGCATCCACTTTGCAAACAATGCGGGCTCAAGTTATTTCATGTCCAACTCTTAATGCCAGCTTTCTCCTGGGCTTTTCCTTTCTCTTTTTCGGCCATTGCAGCCATGCTGCAGGAAGCCCAGAAGACAGATTGACTTTCCGGCTGACAAGGTCCTTCTGGTTTGACGCACCTTCCGAGCCAAACCTTGGTGTGATCAAAGTAAGGCCTGTCAACTAAGTAGACCAGCTAAACCGCGGTGTCTTTGGAACGGTTTTGCATCAAGCACCGTTGATTGCTGGAGAATAGAGTTGAAGCTGAGATGAAACAAGCAGCGCGTACACATCCAAGTCCTTGCACATTCCTGCAACTCCAAAAGATACCAAAATAGCAAAAGCGTGCTGTGTAAAGGCATAAAAGTGAATCACTTGAATTGTTGCATACTTTGGATTCTTCCACTTGCTCCTTCTGACGCTCAAACTGGAAACATATATATATATTATATTGACTCATTCCTCGAATGTCGGCCTATACAACTGCCGCAAACAGCTGGCCCAGAACGTGGACAATCCACAGTGTAGGAGCTGCCAGCCATGCCTGTCCAAAGCAAGAATCCAAGTTCTGGACAACTCGGGTGACTTTTGAGAGGTGAGCAACACACACTTGAACTTTTGGGAGTGTCCTCACACTGCAACTCCAAAATGTGGGCTGTGCAGCCAACCTCCTCTGGAAGTTAAGCTTCCGAAAAATCTAGGAACCTAAATGAATTGTGTGAAGGCTTCTTCAAGGAAGCTCCCCACCAGCCATCTAGGCCCAAATCCTTTTGGCTTACGCCCCCGCGCAAGGGCCGGGGTCCAGCTGCTCGCTTCTCTGAGAGGCGAGGGTTGGACGTCCACCGACCTGGTGCTCACAAAGCATCAGGATTGCCATGGAGACTAAGGAAATGAAGAGAACCGCTCAGTGGAAGGGCTCATTCAATGGTCAACTGTGGGGATGCCTTCGACGCTTGCACTCACTGTTGCTGAAGCTCTTCGTGGCATAGCCCAAACTGGCGAATGTGGCCGTGCTGATGACGAATGGGTACTCTTTGGGGAGGTGCTTGAGGTGCAACTTGGTTCGCCTTCTCGGACTAAGGTGCGCCGTACCTCGATGTTGCTGCAAAAGGATGAGTGTTTGGATCACAGTTGGCCTACCTTTGATCTTCTGTGTACTGCGGAGCACTGCAAAGTGGATCTTTCTCCAGGAATGTGGATTGGTTTGGTGGTCAAGCCCCATCAACGACATGATGATGCATGTGTAGTGGCTGATGAAACGGTGCCTGTTTGGAACATCCCTGCCTACCATAGCAGTCTTGCGTGGCAAGTTTCTCACCTCTTTTGTGGTGCCTATGAAGGTTGGTTGCGAGCTATGTGGTGGCTTCAAAATGCCAACTTAGGCTTTGCATTTGCCTCTCACGTTTCGGTTGACTGGTGCCCAGAAGTGATGAAGACATGGAGCTATAATCACAGGCAAGAGGTCTTGACTTGTCCCATTCGAGTGGACTTCAACCCCACTGGGCCGTATGTTGGAATTCTGGCTGATATCAATGATGTCACGGTGCTGAGAGCCACCTCTAGCAAGTCCAACCTTCTCATGACCTTGTCCCCGCCATGTCCCAGCTGGAGTAGAGGCGGCAAGAACTCTGGCCTTGCTGCAGATGAAGGCTTCTGTTTCTTGGACGCTATCGTGCATGTGGCCAGAGTTCGACCGATTTTGGCACTTTTCGAATGTTCGGATGGCTTAGAGGCCCATCCTCATTGGCGTGTCCTCTCGCGGCTATGCAGCTTGCTGGCTATCAGCGTTTGTGGTCTCAAGATGTTGCTATGCATCAGCTTACAGGCAATCACAGAACTCGATGGCTGGCAGTATGGTCTAGGCATGATGTCACTGGTCATAAATCAGGTGAACGTCTTCTCTGTGCCACTAGCCGACGAGCTTTGTGGAATGACCAAAAGCATTGTTTTGCCCTGCCTCAGTCGCTGGTTGATGACCTTACACTGGATGAGGCTCTATTGCAGATCTATGGTAGCAAGGACCTTCTCCCTCCGGCGAAGAAGGCACGGGTGCTTGAGGGGGCCTCCAACCTCCAAGTGTTGCTTCAAAGAACGCTGCAAAGTGGGGAGTACTTACCCACCCTGTGTGCTTCGTACACTGCGCAGCACCTTCTTCAAGCAGAACATGTGCAATCCAAAGGAATCTTTGCTACCTTGATCCAGGAGAATGATGGGTTCCGCTTTATTGACCCTTTTGTGTATGCATCTCTCTTTGGGACTACCTCGACCTTAGCGTTGCGTGGGAATTTGCGTACAGCATTCCATCAATTGGGAAATGCAATATCACAGTTGCATGCCTTGGTTGCTGTCCTCTTTGCCATGGAAGGAGTCTCTGGAGAAGCGCTTCCTAAGCTGGCTCTTGTGATGCAATGTTGGGAGGAGCGGCTCACTACAGATAATGCGATTGTACGAGTTGTTGATGGGATGTATGTTCTTCAACCTATTGCGGATGTTGTTGGGAAGGCCATTCCGAGTCTTGTTACTTGGCAGCCTTGGTTGGCGGGATGCACTTTGCTGCGTTTCTGTGATGATCTTACCCTCGTGCCTATCAACAAGAATGAGGAGTCAAGTGTTCTTTCTGATCTTCTTCAGGCCTTGGAACTGGCACCCTCGCATATGCATCTCCTTGTGCTCAGTAGTGATGGACATGACCTGCCGAAAGATCTGACCTGGGCCCAGCTGCCAGTTGGAAACCTCACCTTGAAGTGTGGCTCCTTTGTCCTCGGGAATCTTGTTGTTCACCGTGCTGGACTTGGAAATAATGAGGATCCCATTGTCTCCCCCACTCAGCAGTGGGGTGAACACAATGAAGACGTTGAGCTTGACTGTTTGCTGGATGCACACCTCAATGGCTTCCTCCATGTCATCGAATATGTATGCCAGGATCAGCAGCCAAGGTTGACTGCCAGAGTCCTGTTGCTTCAGCAAGATGGTTCGTACAATTGGGTCCAGCATGCCAATGTTGATCGTCTTGGCTCCATCCCGACCTTTCAGTGTGGTGATCAGTGCATGCATTTTGTCAAGGTCAATCAAGAGGCGTGCAGAACCCTTCTAGGTGTTCAAGTTATCCTGGCAATTCATGGCCCCTATGAGCCAGTCAGTTCTCAAAAGTGGATTCTCCTTGCTGGTGGAAATGATCTCAAATGGTTGAAGATATGCAGCATGCCCCGAAACTTGACACCCATCCAATGTTCGACCCAGCTGGAACAAGCATGTGCTATTACTATGCGGAATGCTATTGAATGTCGAGCTGATCAACCTTTGATGCTCATCAATGGGGATGTCCTTTGGTGTGATGCTCGTCCGGCAAGAGCGGCTCAAGTGTCTCTTGGTGGCATGGACCACCTTGCGGATAATCCTGGTTGCAACATACATGATGACCATGTCATGGCTCGCCTTCTGCAATTCAACCTTGAGCCGGGGGCTCTGGCTATTGATGAAATGGTTTTTCACTGTGACACTTTGCAGCTTTTGATGCCCTCGATTTGTTGGTGTCCACCTGCAGTCTGGGTTAACAACGAAGCCCAATTCCGCTTTCCAGTGGAACCGGCGGATTTGCAGCGGTGCTTCCAACATTTTGTGGTTCCGATCTTGGTGCTTTTTGATTGGATCTTTGTCGAGGTTCGCTTCTTTGAAGGCCAATGGAGGGTATTGTACCACTCGCCTGAGCAACTCACTGTGAGACAACGTACTGCGGTCCTGGAACTCATCAATGTCATGAGAATTCGAGTTCTTCAGAATGCCTTCAGATGGATCCGAACAACAGAGGATTCGGAGCTTGCACCGTGGCATACCCTCAGGACTTTCTATGCTAGAGCTGGTGCACCACTTCTGCCTACCACTCATCGAACCACTCAACGCCTGCAGCGCTCCCAACACAGTGAACATGTTATGCAGATCATTGACCAGGCGGACTTCGTTTGGCGTGATACCCAGACGGATGATCGTATGCTTCAGTTCGCAAGAGCGAGTCGCAATGCCTTCTTGGTTGCAATCATGGAATCGCCCAGTAGAGCGAATGATCTTGCCCTTCGGGCTACTGGAAGACCCCCTCAGGGGTACAACATCAATGAGATCTTCTTTGTTGCTGATGATTGGCTGGATATGAGGGCCAACATCTATCGCACACATCCAGGATGGGGCACCAGTGATGAGATTGAATTCTTCATGTCGTACTTCCTGCCAGAGTCATTTTGCCCACCAGTCTTGCATCATGATCTTTCGATTATTGCTGCTGGAGTCAAGCCAATGTCTGATCAAGTCCAGCGCTTTGTTGCACTGAGAGAAGGACACTGGGTTGGCATTGAAGTCATTTGCAATGCAGTTGAACATACTTGCCGAGTCGTCATTCTCCAGGCACCTGCAACTGCACAGCAATACTGGACAACCTTTAGGCCAATCATCATTGTTGACACTACCAGAACCCGCCCAGGAATGTGTGGATGGGAGCTGCTCCACAGGTGGATTGTTGCAGATTTTGCTGTGCCGCCAGATTTTCATATTCCTGCCCAGAAACGACATCTTCTGGATCTTATCCTTGAGGAGTCCACCAGAGCATGGCGAACTGCAGGGGCTCCCCCAATGCTCAGGGCTTTTGCTGAAAATCTCAGAAGGGCCTTCCTTCTGGTTGGTGGCCTACAGGTGTTGCAACCTTGCTCAGCTGTGTCTCTTGGTGGCATGGAAGGGCAACCTCAACCTGATCCAGCTGCACCGGCAGTTGATCCTTGGCAATTTGAAGATCCATGGACCAGTAAGAAAAAAGTCATGAAGCAGAGCAAATGGGAGGATTTGCAGCTCCAGTCGGACCATCCCTTTGTCGGCAAGGACAAATCTTCGATTCCATTCGTGCAGAAACAGCAGCTATCCACGAACCGGGGAGGCATTGCCTTCGTCTCCAAAGGGAACCTGCAACATGCAAAGGAAGTTGTACCACAGGAACCATGTGCTCTTTTGCTGCCCATCATAGATCCGACTGACCCCCTTGCCAAGATGCCAAATTTGACAGGGCCTTTTGGAGCCATCGTCTTTGACTCGGCTTTGAATCAGGAATACAAGCGGCAAGTCCATTTGGTTGCGATCACGCCTGAAGTGCATTTTTCACTGCCAACGCCTTCTATTACGATGACCTTGGCTGCAGTGTGTGAGATTGTGCTTGAGTGTGATGTCAGGCTCACAACCAAAGAAACCTTTCATTCCTTCTATGACAACCCGTTGAGCAAATTCAAGACAATGTTGAAGGAGGCTTGTTCTGATCCAATTTGGAATCATGCTGCCATCTATGGATACAGAGTTGTTCAGGAGCATTCCAAAGAGAAACACGATATGGTTCATCAATGCCTTCTAAAGGTACAGCAGAAGCATCGAACTCCACTCCTTGCTGCAAGTGGCAATGGTGATCTCATTGTCCGGGACTTCATCCCGAAGGGACAGCAGGTTGAAGATCTCTCCATCATTCCTCGCTTCTGGCCGATTGATCGGGTCAACAAGGCGGATTTGATCAAGGCT